CCCACCCTCTGGAATGAGCTGCCCCCAGAGATCAGGGTGATCCCTGATCTCCCTTCCTTCCGCCGCGCCCTCAAGACATGGCTATTCCAACAAGTGGGACTGGCCTAGGGCAATTTTTAGAGGGGTTTTTAATCATATTTTAATTAGACAACATTTAAATATTTCTTTTTAACTAATTTTAATTTTGTAATTGTTATTGGTGTATTTTTTAACTGATTGTCAGCCGCCCTGAGTCCGCAAGGAGAAGGGTGGGATATAAATTCAATTAATAATAATAATAATAATAATAATAATAATAATAATAATAATAATAATAATAATAATAATAATAATAATAATAATTTCGTAGCCAACACAGATGTCAGGAATTCCCAGGATTTCCCAAACTGATATGCTTTAGATACATTGAGAATTGCAGTCCCAATGTATCTAAAGCATAACAGCTTGGTAAAGACTGCACTATACTAAGAGCTACCTGCTCTTTCCCCTTTACACTGCAATTAAAACAGCTAATAAAAACAAAGTAAATCTGCATAACATATACATTGTTTTGACTGCAGCCACAGAAACATACATGAAATTATGAATACTGTTTAAAACTACTTGGTTCAGAATGAAATATAATAAGCATTATGACCTGGGACCCATGTTCCATATTATTTATTATCAAAAGTTGCATTAAAGAAGAGCATAAAATCACCAAATAAAGAGACAACACTGCTCTCTCTTGACTCCATGGATTGTCTCGAGACTTTTGAACAGACACTTTTGTGAGAGCAAGACTGAAAGGCCTACAACAACAAGAGTAATAATGGAAGGGAAACTAAAAGAAATGAACTAATATTCATTATGGCCTAGGACTGACCAAGTACCATGTTTTGGGTGGGAAATACATATTATATACAGTCCTCCAGAAACTCAAGCCCAATTAACATTGTGAGATAGATTGGTCTATGAAACAATAGTTCAAAATCATCTAGAGAATTTCCACAACTGATAATGGACTTGAACCTCAGTCTTTGACATTTTAACTAGTTCAGGAACTATGGAAAAGCATCTTTTGAATATAAAGCTTCTGTTAAAAAGAGCATGAAATATAACCCAGAAGGTGAGACAGAGAATTATATGAATACCTGAAAGAGCTGATAGGCATAGATGTCATTCATATCTATGTTTACTATTCGCAACATGTTTTTGATCTCTTTGAAGCTCATCTTATTGTCTTTGTTCTTGTCAGCTTCATGTAAGATGCCATGGATCCAGGTAGGGCCTGATGTAAGGACAATGTAAAAAACTGGGAAACATCTACTTGAAAATTTAAATTCACTCTCCTTCTGTCTTACATAGTTAATTCAAGAAAATTGTGAAGATGAGTCTTAATACAAACTCTTAAGAAAAAGGGAATGAGTGTTGGGGCATATTTTAAATGCAGAAGACAGGGTTCAAAGACTGTATATCAGCTAACTACAAATATTTGATCGAGCAATTTCTACCTAATTCTTAAACATATGATTAAAATGTCTAGCAAATTCAAGTTGTAAAAAAAGAAAAATCTCTGGCCATATAGCCTGTTTCAGAAAAAAACAATTACTGCCTCTAAAGTCAATGGATTCTTCTTTGTTAAGTAAGGGTTTTCAAACAGAGAATGGTTACCCTCCAGCAACACCACTGCCATAGAATTCCTTTGCTGATGTATTTTGGCCTTGGAGGCATAATCCAACTTTTGACTCTGTGGCCATTTCCCTATTTATAATGGTATCACAACATTCCCCCCATCATGGAAGATGCTATAAGATGGTAGGGGTAAGATGCTCCCTAATTCTAATTCTAATTGCTTTTTTTGTGCATCACTAGTGCACAGCAACCCATGAAACCAAATATGGCTTCAAATCCCATTTCTAATATGGTACCATATGTATTTTTAAAACACAGATGTCTGGTACTTAACACAAGCTGAGGCATAGATTTTAAAAAGAAAAAGGAAGGTTTTGGAGTGATTCAACAAAATCTCCCTTTTTCTTTTTAAAATCTATGCCTCAGTTTTAAGAAGGAATAATATCTACCGCACTCCTAAGTCTTTTCAGATATAGAAAGAAAGGATATTGCTCAAGCTTTTCTCGCTGGCTCATGGCTTCACATCTGGCCATTAATTTTGTGAGTCCTCTCACCCACTGCTGAACTTCAATCCCAGTCTGGGCAGCCAGATCCAGGTTTTTCCGTTTTCCCCTGAAGACTATAGTGAAGCACTGCTCTTCTGCAAAAGAACCACCAAATTTCCGAAGCCCCTCAGATTGGTAACCTTCACGTACACTTTCAACATGGAGGATGGAGACTGAAAGATAAGGCATCAAAGGGAGTCATTCATGGAGAGAGATAAAAATTAGAAGTATGTGAAGTGTCTCAACTCATTTTCAGTGAAAAAATTTTTCATTTGCCATAAGAAAGCAGGGAAAGACTATAATTGCCTCACACCGGATAGGGATAATAATCTAGCACTTCTAGAAGAGGAGGCAAATCTCAGACCAGGGTGTGTTTTATTTAGCAGTTTAATTTATTCAGATGTTTCTCATTTACCATCTCAGCAAGACTTTAAATATCTCTACAAAAAAGTGATTGGATCCCACTTAAATATGACAGGAGAGAGCCACTGGCTTGATCAGCCAAAGAAACATACCATCTCTTCTCTGTTTGGATATCTCAAATAACGTTTCTTAAACTTTTTGCTCTCAGGACCTCTTTCTATTTTTAAAAATTACGGCTGAGATTTGTTTATATGGTTTATACAGGTAGTCCTCAATTTACAACCACAATTGAGCTCAGAATTTCTGTTGCTAAGTGAGACATTTGTTAAGTGACTTTTGCCCCATTTTACGACCTTTCTCGTCACAGTTGTTAAGTGAATCATTGCAACCGTTAAATTAGTAAAAGGGTTTTTTAAGGTTTCCCCATGGTCTTTGCTTGTCAGAAGGTCACAAAAGGCGATCACATGACCCTGGGATACGGCAACCACCATAAATATGTGTCAGTTGCCATGCCTCTGAATGTTATCGCAGGACTATGGAGATGCTGCAACAGTCATATGAAAAATAGTTATAAGTCACTTTTTTTCATTGCCATTGTAACTTTGAACAGTCATTAAACAAACTGTTGTAAGTTGAAGTCTACCTGTATTGATCCATGTTTACCATATTAAAAATTAAAATTGATACATTCGTAGAATGTTTATTCATTCATGCAAAAATAACAATATTACGTCCATTAGATATTAACATAAATAAAATATTGTTCATGGAAAATATACTGCTCACAAAAATAAAGGGAACATTTTACCATGGAACTGAAGGGGTTTGCGTTCCCTTTATTTTTGTGAGCAGTATATATATTTTAACAAATAAAAAAGAATGATATTTTAAATTTTTACAAATAATTTCTTGCAAACAGCTGGCAAATAATTATGATTTCACAGGAACTCTAAGAGGGGGGATCCCCAGGGGTCCTCAGAGCACACTTTAACAAAGGTTCTCAAGAGTTCATCATAGACTGCACGTTTCCCTTCTGTCAGATATCCACAAGAGGCCCATTTATATTGGCTTCCTAATAAATGTTGGTTTAGAACTTCTTATAATTTGGAAAGTAGAAGGCAAGAAGTTGTGGAAAAAGATGAAACAAAAAATGGAATCTGAAATTCCAAATTTTTTAACCCTGTTTTCTCTTGAAGACAGTGATTGAAATTATTCCTTTTAAGGATTAAAAAATGCACACATCCTGCTGCCTGTGGAAGCAAGTAGACCTACATTCTTTGTGCCTGCAGATCCTTCCTCTCACCTCCCCAAGCCAAATAGATCTATCTTGTGACATAGTCTTATTCTGAGAGGAAAAATTAATAAGGACTCTTGAAAAATTAAGTAAAAAATATAATTATTTTTGCTACTAAAGTCACAGCCCAACATGAAAGAACAAAAAAGTGAGAAGAAAAAAAGCCTGCCACCTTTGAAAGCAATAACAAAAATGGTGAATGGAGTCAGCACAATCCCACTACTTCTCCATTGCTTCAGGTTACTAATAGGCTTCCAGCCCCAATTCAAGAGCTGGTCATGAGCTACAAGCCCTATACAGCCAGAATTAATTCAATCATAACATTGTGGAAAGACCTATGAGGGGAGGAGTGTATATATGAGACAACAGGAATTCTGTGTGGACATCTTATTTTAGTTAAAACTCCCTCTCTTGCAGCTTTTAGAATATTTTTCACCACTTTTCAATCCTAGCCGAATCTTATTTGTGTCCCTCTTGGGAGACTTTATCACTGTTGACTTATTGCAACTGCTGCTTTTATAATTTTGATTTATGTTATTGTTGAGTTTATACTTTTAACTTGTTATCTTCACCTAGAGTCATTTGAGTTGGATGGGATATGAATTTAAATAAATAAACAATCAGTAGTATAACACTGCTGTATAACAGGAGTCCCCAACCACTGGGCTGCGGACTATACTATCAGTGGTGGGATTCAAACATGTGAACAACCGGTTCTCTGTGTGGATGCTGTTTCCGGAAGTCCGTTCTGGGCCTGGGCAACAAAAAATTAGCTACTGGTTCTGCCGAAGTGGTGCGAACCAGCTGAATCCCACCACTGTATACCAGTCTGCGGCCCATTGGCAACTGGGCCATGCAAGCAGTGGGCAAGTGTGCAAAGCTTCATTTGTGGATGCATGGGAGTTAGGTTGCACGCACCAAACCATCCCCTCTCTGCTGCTGCTGCTGCTGCCGGCACTGCCTATCTATGAATCTAAAAAGGTTGGGGACTGCTGCTCTATAATCCTTTGCATTATAGGAGACATCTTTCCCAAATGAGTTTGCCCACCCCACTCATGCTGACATAATGGACATACTGCAGGCCCCATCAGCCAAGTAATTGTGGCAAGTGGCAGCATATTAATTATTAATTAATTAATTAATTAATTAATTAATTAAATGTATCAGCATTTCAGTTCAAATGAAACCAATCCTAGACATATTGGCCAGTTTGCCCTTCAATACTTCCCACTGTTTAAGAAATGCCTTTCGCTTCTATCTACATGGATCAGTTAGTATTTTTGAGAATTCTAGTTTGGGGGATTTAAATCTCCATGTCTGACATAGCAACATAAAGAAGGAAAAGATACAGTACAGTAGTTACTTTTGATTATTCTTGTGGGTGCACTCCTACTCTGACTGATGATTTCAGAGAGAGGGTTCTTAGTATTATACATCAAAAACATTATGCAGTTTTTTTAATATGTGTTCCTGATCAGATTTTCTCTGGAAAGAAAACCAGTACAATGGAAGTAGTGGAAAAGAATGGGAGAATAATTAATGTAAGGCAATCTCAACATTTTATGTTGAGGGGAGGGAGGGAGGGAAGGTAGGTTTGCATAGCTGTGATAGGATGTCTAATAGATATTAAGAGCATGGCAGAAAGAGGAAAACTGTTATTAGAGGGAATTGCAGTATTATAGAAAAGGTGATTTTGTTCAGGAGAGGAAGAAGCATTGAAACTAACTCCACCTTTATATCAGGAATAAATTCATCTGAAAAATTGCTTTTACAACTTTTCAAGATTTGGTTATGTTACCCAATTAGCAATTAAAATCTTTTCAGAAATCCCAGTAGTTTTGTTTCCAGGTGAGGATCTATAGCTGACATCCATGAAGGACCAGGAATGGCATTGCAGCAGAGATTAGTAGCCAGGTGGTAAATTCTGTCTGGCTATCGTCTTTCTGGACAAAGAAGATATTGTGAGACCACCCACATGCATCCTGGACAGTTGCTCCTCATGAGAAGACTGTATGTCTGGCCTAGTGAATTACCCACTGACAGAGATGGATAACAAGAGCACCTGATTGACAGTTATCACAGGCAATTTCACTGTCACATGCCCAAACAAGTCTGTATTTAAAAAAAAACTATACCCAAGCTCTTATATTTAGTAGTCAAGCAACAATTCAACATATTTAATCTCCATGCAATTTGCCCTTGCCTCACCCTGTCCTAATAGTTACCTTTCAAAATGCATTCCAGCAAGGCATTGCCCTACCCCTATCAAGTTAAAAAAATGTCCAAAGAAAACAAACACATGCCTTCTTATGTCACACCCTGTTCTTAGAGGGATCAACCATGAGTAACTCATATGGGAGTCAGGAGAGTACAAGTATTTCTTGTTTGTGAATGGGAAGAGTTACTTTTACAAATTAACAGACTAAGCCATGAATCAGGAAGTTCTCAGCCACAATTCTTTTTATATATAATTGATCATCTATTCCTCTCCTTCTTTCTCCTCCTTTTTTCTTTTTAAAGACTATTTTAATTGTTTTCAGTATAGGTAAAAAGGTAAGTCAGAAACAAAAAAATAAAATGGAAGAATGCAAAAACATAAGTCATATCATTATATAATAGAGTAATTAATAAAATAACTCAGTCTTTAAACAACATATTTAATTCTGATCATGTGGAAAAATGGCGGTCCATTTCAGAGTTCATAGGTGGAAAGTAAACACCTATCTTAATCAAAGATTTAAAGACATGTAAGGCAGAAACTTTGCATTGAAGTAAAACAAACATTTAACTCCTTATACATTATTACATAAATTCTGAATTTTTGATACAGTTTAATATCACCTGTAAACCTTATTTAATTATGGCACAATTAACAATGTGGTAGATAGAAATTAAATTAATGCAAATTTTGTCCATCACTGCAACTTTTTTTCCTGAGAAGAGGATCAGAATTAAAAGGCTTCATTATTTAATTAATATTGATATAGTTATAAGCACTAAGAAAAATAGTAGACATTTAGAAAAAAAACAAACGTAATGAGCACTATTTCTTACAGTTAAACCTTTTCTTTTAATCTGGTGTAATTATTTGCTTGTTTTCATTTTCTTTATACATAATGGATTACCAGACCCACAGATATTGTATAAAACATTTAAAAACTTTAACAATAAAAGGAAAAAATGTTGAGAAATATAAGCCCACGTGAAATTAATTAAAGTTAAGATGGTTGCTGTCATTGTTTTATATGGGATCTGGTAAACTAAAATGTGATAGGATTGCTGAAATATTTTACTCTGTATAACAAAGTCTGTGTGATATTCTATATCAATTGAAAATCATTAATCTTTTGTAAAAAGATATAAAAGTAATTTTAATCTGCTCTCAAGCTCCATTTTTTCATATTTGAATAAACATTTCATATCTAACTCAAATGGGAAGCTGAAAATGACAACTAGGGCATACAAACAAGAAAAGCTTGAATGAAAATGATGATCTGATGACAGTTTTATATTGAATTACATTAATCCCAGGAAAGACAAAATCTAGCTATACCTGTGAGGAAATAATACTGTCAAAGACAAAGGCAGGATTTTTTTAAAAAGATGGACAGGCCTATATTTTTTCTGTCTTGTCACAGACATTAATCGGGGCCTCCAATAAGGATCTCAAATAAACAATCTTTACAGCGCTATATTAACATTTTATCCCAAAATGGTAGAAATCTCTGAAGCTGTAGATCAGAAGGAATCCTATAATGCTTGATCCATAATTAGAAAGATTTGTGCATGTGTGTTTATGTATGTCCTTTTCTCTCTATCACTATAGTCCTTTTCCATGCCAAATTTCATGAATTACCATCTTTTCTCATCAATAACAATTTTCCAATTAATTGAGTTTATCAACATTGAACTATCAAAGACAATGTCTGACTTCTTAATTCTGGAATAAGAAACAGTATGATTTTTCTAAGTGTTTAGCCCAGAAATATTGCCAATACTAGATCATAAGAATTTAATTTAAACAAATGGAATTAATACACTTAGTAAAATTCAGAATCAAACACTTGTAAATACTTTGAAACTTACAAATATGTTTGGAGCGAGCCTTTTTAAAACGAGTCTCAAACCAGATGGACATCCCATCTTCAAGAAGCCGGAACAGCCTTTGTTTCTGGGGCTGATAAGTCTTGACTTTCCAGAAAAAGGTTCCCTGCAGCATCAACTTAATATCTTCATCATCTGACAAGCCTGGAGAGAAGGTGGCAGGGGGCAAAGATTAAACAAATGTAGTACTTAATGTGCATCCTAAAATAAAAGAGCAAGAGGCATTGCCTTTTACCATGATTTAGAACTCAGCTCCAGGAACTTTGCTTTCTGGGCAAACCTTGGAACTTGTAAAATACTAGGACAAATGAACTTTTCACTTATCTACAATTAGCTAACACCATCTAAAAGAATTCAAGAGGCAAGAAAACATTACATTTGCAATTTTCCTTTCTCCCCATCTTTTGGTTTTAAAAAGCCTGTATCCCGACGTTTTGGAAAAAATCATTTATGGTATGGTTTGGAAACTCTTACAATACTTCTTAAGACACAATTATCAATGTCTAAACTGCACATCTTCTGATTCTTTGTCAACACCAAAATGATTCAGAACAATGATACAATAAAAAAAATGAGTCAGTACTCAATTTTCAGAGCAGACAAATCCAAAGATCAGAAGAAGATAAAGACAAAAGCAGGGTGATGGTCAGGTTTCACATCCAAAAGACAAAAAGGCAAGTTATTTGGATTGATGAATCAAATCAAGATCAAAATCATATAGAGCAAGTCATGCCTTTACTGGGTCCTGAATCTATTGATCCAAATTGTTGTACTGTACCTTCAATGACAGCATAGATTTTGATAATTGCAAAGACTAGCCAGAAACTGCCATTCTCAAGATCTGAATCTGATTGCAAAGAAAGAATTGCAAACTTGGAATTTATAGTTAGCACCAAATGCAGCCACCTACCTTTTGACCTGGCCTACCCATTTCAACAGTATAATTACTACTATGCAGGAGTTACTCTAGCTGCTAGTAGGCTTCCAAGCTTCCAAGGTGCTGCTTGTTCCCTACAATGCCCTTAGAAGATCTTCTACCCTACACTTTAATATATTCACTAGCCATGAGAGGATGTACTAAATGCCTACTCATGAAAATCTGTGGGGTTCAGGATCCAGAAAGCAGTATTTTCCTCATTCAGGAACAGCTGGCCTCCTGAGGTCACCTTCTTGTCCTTTAACAAACAGATGGAAAAAGAAGTCCTTTTCCACAGGGCATTCGGAGAAGTTTAATTTACAACAGTGAAAGATATTTTTTAAAAATATTTTGTTTGCATCTTATTGGGATTTTAAGTCTTAAAATTAGGAGTTATACATACTGTAATAGTAAACCTGAAATCAGGCAAGAAAACTAAGACTACGCATCATGTTTTGTATCCTATCAGTAAGCGAGAAGCCTTCCACATCAACAACAGGTTTATCTTAACCCTAACTCTAGATGGATAACTCTACCTAACTGGAGAGTAGAGGAATATTTTTTTTGATGAATAAGGGGATGTGCACGTCTGTTCAAACTGGCAAACGTAAGTCATTCCAGGTTTGAACAGCCACTGTGACTTGGATATGCTGGATCATAATTCCTGTCAACCTCAGCCTACATGGCTCAGAAGATGATTGGAACATGGAAAACATTGAAGCACTGGCAAAATGCACATAAGAGAGAGGTAGTTCAATATTACCTTTCATTGTGGTTTAACCTTTCTAAAAATGAAAGCAAAAAAAGAGCAGTATTATATTTGGAATGAGGAAAATAAAAATGGAAATACAAACAATGAATTTCCACACACAGTACATGTGTCCATTTACAGCAATGTTTCTCAACCTGGATATTTTTCAGGTGTGTGGACTACAACTCCCTGAATTCATCAGCCAGCATACATAGTTAGGAATTCTGGGAGTTGAAGTCCACACATCTTAAAGTCATCAAGATTGAGAAACACTGATTTACAGGATGCATATGACTAAATATATTCAGATGGATACTTTAATCCATAGGATGCAAAGTTATTGCACCTTTTATTCCGGAAAAATAGACAAAAGCTATGGTTAATCCCTATTACCAGTTTCTGATGCCCAAAGGGACAAATAAATAGGGATTATACTCAATATTTAATCTCCAGTTAAAAGGCTTAATAGCCAAATTAAAGACTGCTTTTTCTGCCACATTCAGAGAGGGCAATTGTGTTGAAGAAGCTTTATATTTCTTACTAAATTATTATCCTCCACTTTCTGTTGGGGCTTTCATAGTTTCAATGTTTGGATAACAGAAAAAAATGCAAAACAAATTCATTCCAAATGCAGGTGGGGCAGGTATTTTTCTCTGCCACGCCTGGTCTGCCACTTGTCCAGCAGAATACTTCATAGCATTTCCTGAAATGTATCAGCAGAAATAGTTCAGTTCCATTAAATAGATGAGCAAAATAATAGAAACAGGCTCAGAGATAAGATTCATTTGGATATAATTTAAAAAAAATAGAAGAAAAGCAGCAAAATCAATGTACAAAAAGCACACATTGTTGAAATCTGGATTATTCAAGATAATATTAAAATGTCTGAATGAATCTATAATAACATTTTTAGAAAGGGAAACACTTCTGCATAAAGTATTATGTAATTTGAAAATCATTCTATAGTAATATATCTTGGCAAATAATTTATTTGAGTTTGTAAATGTTCCATGTATGTTTACATATACAAAAAATATGCAGTGTTTGTACATATGGGTCAGTCAAGCAAATGCAGCTATTAAATTTGTGGAAGTACAGGTATGAACTGCACCAATATGATACCTTGTGTGTGTGTGTGTGTGTGTGTGTGTGTACGCTCGCACGCATATATGGGTATGGGTGCGTATGTTGACTCCTGATGACTACCTGGATTAGTCCCTGAAGTTTTCTTGGCATCATTTTCAGAAGTGGTTTGCCATTGTTTGCTTCCTACAGCAGAGAGAAAGTGGCTGGTCCAAAGTCACCCAGCTGGTTTTGTGTCTAAGGTGGGACTGGAAATCACAGTCTTCATGTTTCTAGCTTGATGACTTAACCACTACACCAGACTGATTCTATGATGCATTGTTGAAAGAATATCAATTTTTCAAGAACCTGGCAATCATCCAGACCCTCTTCCAAAATATTCCCATGCATTCCCCTCCATTTCCCCCCCCCCTACAGAAACTGAGAATGTTTCTTGATGTAAGCAGCCCTATTTACATTCTGGGTCTCCCCAAAATAGGTGTATTTATTGTGCTCTCTCTTCCCTTTGGCTTCAGACTTCCCTGGAACACACTGCCACTTGAATTTCTGGAAGCACACTGGTTAAATAACTCTGTTATATAGCTTTAAGAAAAGAAAGGGGTCAAAGCAGCTCCCTCTCTGGGTGATCAACAGACTAGTATAGAGCACAATTTGCTGCTTCCATATGTCTTCATGTTCTAGCCCTAGAGCAACTGATTGTAAATAGACAATTTGTACTACAGGAAAATAAAATTAGAATCAGATTAGGTTAAAAATGGTTGCTAGATTAAAGAAGCTTACTGGGCTCAGGGTAGGAAAAGATCAGCCTTTTCGTCTTGTATTATTTTTATACTTAAAAGGTAACTCCAAGTAGTATGCTTGGTCTGGAATGGGACAACTTGCTGCAGCCAACTAGCCACAGGACAACTTGCCATGGGACAAGAGCTACATTAATATCGGAAAAATAATGAAACATAATCATTAAAAAGGATGCCAAAATGAAATCTGAATGACAAAAAATATTTATTTTATTATTTAAAATAATTAAATTGAATTGTTGAATTGTTCTGCAACGAGTTATCCGTGGTGATTGGCTGCGGCAAGTTGGCTGTGGCGAGTTGTCATAGACCCTGCTTGGTCTGCCTAATGGGGAGAAGAGACCAAACAGCTCATCCAGCAGTTGCTTGTGTTGCTTCACCTGGAGTAACAATGCCTAAACTAGACATTTCCCTAAAGAACTGAGAGGTACAGAAGAATCTCCTTCCAACTTTTCAAGCAAGCTAAACCAATCCATTGAAATTACCCTCAGCTAGAATACTAAGACACAACTGAGACATTTTGCCTAAACACAAGGTGGTACCCTAGTTAACTGTAACGCCAATACAGCTAATGGGAATAGCTCTCTCTCTACCAATCGAGTGGAATATAGGGCAATTTAAAGAATATACACACATTTCTTTTCTTTAACACCTCAATGCTACTTCCTCCTGACACAAGATCTTCACTAATGGAAAATCTGCACCACACATATACACACAGAGAAGTTCAGCCAAAAATGATAACAGTAAGAGCAGTTGGGGAAGAAATAATTGAAATTGGAAAATTTAGTAAATGGAATTTAGTAAATGAGAAAACTGTATCATGTGGTGAATGTTTTTCAAGTGAGTAAGAAAAATGGAGAATGCCTCTCAGCTCAGAGATAGATAGCCAGGACATATCTTACAGAACAGAGTAACGTGGAGAAATAAAAGAATGAAGAATGGGGGGTGGGGAGTGAGCGGTGGAGAAAATATCCAGTTTCTAAATCTCTCTCCTACCTCAAATCAGCAAAACAAAGCAAAAAGAATAATAAATGCAGAGGGTAATAGAGGACCATCTAGATCACTGTTTTTCAGCCTCTGAGATTGAAATGTATTGATCTTGCTTGTATTTCCTTCTATTCATAATATCGAGCATTTACACATACATGTCTTTCAATTCTAAACCTAAAAGAAAAGTGAAAAGTGCGGTTGTTTTCTGTACTTCAGGCAGAATAATTTCTGTTCATGGTGAGAAATGTCCTGTTCCTGGCCTACAAGGCTCCACTTTGAAGGGAGGAAGTTATTGTTATTTGTTCCAAGAAGGAACACAGGAGTGGTGTAATTTTTGCAGAGATCATGCAAACCCATGGGGTGCTGGAATGCAATGGGGTGAAGAAAGGTTGGGAATGTTGTCAGTACAAAAATGGGCAAAGATTCTTGTTTGCAATTCAGCTGACTCGTCATAGAGAAAACTGCAGTTCTGTTACTGTCATCATCATTCCAATACAGTAAATACAACGAAAGCACCACCACACACCATGTTATCGCTTTTCCAGCTGTTTGGGGGGGGAAGTAATGCCTATTTTCCTAGGTTTTGGGCACAGCTAGAGATTTG